GGTGAATCGTGGCGACGCTACGTTCCCCATCGCAATGGGACAATGGGAACCACTTCGTGGACGTCGACGGACAACCAGTCACACATCAAGCAAGGATCAGTCCACGTGTGACTTTCCGGACGGAGTGTTTGTCTGTGAACCGGAATCCGGTGAGGTCAGTCTGAATCCGTTGACCAGTGCCGAATTGTCCCATGATTCGGGTGTCTATTTCGGTCAGTCCACACCGGGCGTGGCAATCAATCGAGGCTATTCCCGTAGACGTGCGTACACGGGCGAATCGTGGCCGGATGGACCACGAGAAGTGGAGGCACCATGGCGTCAATCCAATTCTCATCTGAACGGTAGCCGATCGGGTCTAAACGTTAGGGTGAGTTGCTAATGTTGTTTATCATGTTTTTTGTCTCCGGCTCATCTTTTTCGAACCAAGTCATTGTCTTAATCTTGACGTTCTCGAGTCCATGATCTGTAACCCCTGTGTGTATGTATATGTGTGTGAACCGAAATGAAGGAATCAGTTCAGAAAATAAACTGAGTACATGGTCTGTCGGGAACACACACTGTTATCACGGATTGAAGAGGTGAAGAGGTGCAAACATCCGAACAGTGTGCCAGTTGCTTCTTTTTTAGTGTTTTTATGCATTGGTTTTCTCTACCCAACAAGAAGTTTCTCTTGCTTCGTTTCACTGTCCTCGTTTTGATGCCGAAGTCACAGATCGAGTGCAGTTTTTGTATAGTAACAGATTTGTACACGTTTGACCCCGTATCATAGTTACGGAGCTCGTTTCTAGTTTTCCTGTGATCTAACACGGCCCAGTCACGCGATAAAGGTGAACACTATGTGTGTGTGTGTGTGTGTGTGTGCGTTCGAATCATGCCAAGTTGACCTGGCTTTTGTTTCTTTCTGACCCTTGATACATTACAGACTGTTATTTTCAATTTGTATTTCGAAAAAAACACGAAACACCACGACGAACTTCATATATCAGTAGGGGAATGAATTGATTTAACAATTATGTTTGAAGATTTGCACCGTGTTGGTCGCTGATTCTCGATTAGTACTAGCTACATACCGTTCCGGATAGGCTGCGTCTGTCCCAGGGTTTGAATCCTGGTAGATCTGTGTGTGCTTGTGTGCACTGTTAGTCAGACAGTTGAACCGGTTG